CTTGGCTGCCGCCGCCGCCTTGTCTCCCCAAGCTTGTCTCCCTTCATGATTTGGCTGCCACTGCCGTCTTGTTTCTCAAGTTTGTCTCCCTTCATAACTTCGCTCTTGGCTGCCGCTGCCGCCTTGTCATTTTCTTGCTTGCGTTTGACGCGGATGCTGTTATAAGATGATTTAGGTCTTGTTTACCTTTTCCATCCTGTTCCCGCTTTGAGTGGGATGTCTCCCAAGCTTGTCTCCCGCTCTTGCCATGGTGTCCAACTTTTCTTGAAGTGCTATCTGGGGTCTATGCCGGTATATTATATTTTTTTTTCGAAAGGACACCCGTATTACATCGTTTTCTTTGCCTGGGATCCGGACATGGATCCATAGATCTACCATAAACAGTTCAAGAGCAGCTGGCACCGAAACGTGGCAGTTGCCATGTGTTTTGTCCTGCTTACCTGGTGGATGGTCTTGAATCAAAAGCACCTGTTCTTTTATCACCAACAGCAACTACTCAAAGGGCACGTGCCATGCTTTGCATTCCCGCAGCTGTGACAGAGAAGAGGATGGTAAGCACATGTAAGCAGAGAGAACGTTGCGACTTGGAGTGAGATGTTTCAACCACCGAATGCGAATTCACCATGCTTCCCACGGCGAATGCGAACCAATGAGTTCAATGTCCATGTGAAAGTCGTTCAACATAAAGGCACGTCAATCCTGCAAAGCTGGAATGGACTTCTTGGAATGGCCTTGTTCCTCCATTGGAGCCTCGAGCGAGCTGAACGGCGAAACATTTGGCCCTGCAACAGACCCTTAGCCCAAGCCCTACAACGGATCTAACTGGATACAGATCCAGTGACCACTATCACTAGATCAAGATCACTAAATCCACCAGAAATATATGTTGGTTCCTCTTTTAATTGGGGCCACTCATCCAAAACCTAGCCTTCAAAGACCATGGTCTTATTTCGGTTCACCTGGTGTTTATAGTCTACAAACCTCCATTTCAAGCAATATGGTTTGTTCATAGAACCGATGGATTCATGGATTTATGGCCTGGGGCCACGAAATCCCACCACCGATCCTTGGACCCTCCTTAGAAGGGGTCGAACCCCTTTATAACAAGGGTGTGTACCGGTGCGGATCCTTAGATATCCTTAGGGCATGGTCAATCCAGCAATCCTACATCAATCAATGTGGGTGGGCCACGAATGCTGCGGCTCAACGAGTTTGGCGAACGCGTCTCGTCTCCATGCGCTGTGCCTGCTTCGACTGTCCATGCCGATGTGGCGATGTGCCTGCTTCGAGGGGCTGTGGAGGGAGGCGGCGATGGGACCTGTACCAGTCGACCCGGGAATCGTGGCTCCGAACATGGGTGTCGGTACCAGCAGTTGGGGTACTGAATAGAGGAAGTCGGGGCGCCCCCTTTCATATCCACTGGGATTAAACACCACCCTGGAACTGGTGCCTACCTTGGCCCCGTTTCAACCACCCCAACGTAGGCATATGTAGGCATGTATTCCATACCGGGAGTGTCAGGGTACTCCAATTGGGTACAAACATGTACAACTTTGGTGCCTTGGAGTGTACTTTGGAGGGTCCAGGAAGATTTGGACTACCAAAATAAGCATAAGAATCTGAAGATTTGATGGTGATTCCGCAGATCATGCTCCCACAAACACAACAAATCTCCTGGTGGTTTTGCTCGACTCCCCTTGCGAAGCAGTCGACATCACCCTAACCATCCATGGGACTTAATAATCAATGTACTTGGACCCGACTTCCAGTACCAGTACCTTGGAAAATGGGACATGACTTTCCAAACAGGCACTTGTACTGATTTTCCGAGGTACTTTCACGGGTCAACTCCAGGTACTGGAGACTGGAATCGTCACCTACATTTGGCCCTCAAATGCCCTACAAATCAGTTTCCAGCAGTCACAAAGGGGTAGTGCCGAACTTGGAGGAAAGAGTATAGGTGCCCCTGTCACATCCACGAGCCCTGGATGGGACTCAAACCACCCTTTCTCACCTTCAGCTGATTTGCGCATCTCCGGTTCCTATGGATTCGTGTACCCCCGTCCGATCCATGGATTTGCTCCCGTGTGGCCACTGCTGGTTGCAGCACGCCACTGGACTGCAGTCCTGTGGCCAGTCCGACTGGTGGTTTTGAGTGGTGAATGTAGGCTTGACCTTCGGTATGGCTCAAACGATCTCCAAAGGATTGAACTGCTCTCAAAAAATGGACGATCTCCTACTAAAAGGAACATTGGTGTGTGCCGATCGGTATGATTTGTTTGAGCAGATACCCGCCATATGTGGATGTCTTGAAGCATGCCTTCTCTTGAAGAGGCTTCTCTTTGCAAAGATCACCTGTTACCTGAGAGGAAGAATCAACAATCAATTTCCTTTGGCCCATTGTAAACAGCCCAAATCTGCCGGGAAGCGTTTTGTTCTTCTTCGCCTTCCTTCATCGGAAGGCCGAAAAGCGAGACAAACCACAGGTGGGCCGGCGCGAGACCCGCGCCGCGCCGCGAGATCGACGGGATGTGTGGCTGTCGATCCAGGAAAATCCCTCCCAGCAGAGCTTCATTGAACACCTTGGTGTTCAGTAAGGACATAGTCATAAGGTCCTTGTTATGTTTGTTTTGCTACCACGCTCATTTTGGCCGTAAAGATTCAACAGCTGGACAGTTCGGTTCACCCATGAATTCTTTTCCGATCTCATGCATCAAGGTCAGATGAGCAAAGCAACGCCCTGGGTCGTTTTCACCCAAGACCCTAGGACTCCTGGCCCAGCAGAACTTTGGTCTTTCTTTACCAAAGAACATACCCACAGCACACTACACCGCGACACATGAAGAGGATCAGGCCGGCAGGGAAGAGTGGGAGAGGAGGCACAATGAGCTGTGGGGCTGTTGACACGCCCAAGTCGTGACACGCCGCGACAAGCGGCGGGGTGTAGAGGACCGGACCCAAGATGTCACGACCGAAAGCTGTTTTCGCGCCAAGCTGTCCGGCAGCAGGTCGGACCGTCTGAAAGACCACTCCCTTCACCCCACCGGCGCATTAGTTGAGTTGCGAACGACCGGCTTGGTTTGGTGTATGGTGGCATGGCGCTACACGCATTTGCTTGAGGACGCCACAAACACAGTCCTCTTGGCAAGTTGCATAGCAAACAGTTTGACACCGCAGCAAGGCGCCGGTGTCATACACCAGCATACTACCAGACTCTGGCACGTGCGACAGGCAGAGGAGTCCTGATACCTGGAGGTCCATTGTGCGACGACATGGCATAGAGTTCATGTCCGTGGTCTTGTGCGACGACATGGCGGAGTTGAGGGCGGTTGGATGGAGTCACAGATCGCATGTTCTTCGCCCAATTAGGAAGGGCCCACCGGGAAGAGGGCCTGCCAGCCCAGTACAAGCGGTATGCCACGGATGTCTAGATGCTTCCCTTGTTTCAGCCAGACATGCTTCCTCAGGAATTGCCTCGCATGACCACCCCACCAGCGCCCCACCAGCGACATGGAAGCGATGGTGCGGTCTCTCAGGCCCAGAGGGTCAACCCAGAGGGTCAAGAAGACATGTTTAAACAACACGTTCCCAGAATCAGAAGAACCATTTTTATCAAGTTGGAGGCATTGCGGTTCCTTTCTTGGCGCGACTCCAGCTGCTGCTTTCAGCACGATGCATACCATCTACATGACGCTGAAGCACGTCCCCACTGAAGGCCACAGCAGGTCAGAGGTCGCTGGCAGGTTGGTGCTTTGTGCTGTGATGGCACACCAGCTCGGCCGCGGCCCCGTGGAATCGTTTGTACTTGCCCAGTACATGTCAGGCATTTCTATGCAGGTGGATGTGATGAACGGTGTCCAGGTGATGCATGCGTACGTGCAAATGTCGATGGATCTGGCAACACACACACACACACACACACACAGCTGACGACTCTGAAATCGTTGTGTTGTCAATCCACAGTCGCCCAACCGAAAGACAATGCAGCGCCCAGCACTGTGATGTAACTGCTTGTCAGATGAGCTGCCTGGAGGTGTGTGTTTACAGGGAGTTCGACGGAACATGTTCACCCATCCCAATTCCAGGTCGTTAAGGCCGTGCATCTTCAGGGAACGCAAAGTATAGACAGGGCATTACAGGGCTGAGCTTGTCACTTGGATCATCCGTAGAGACCACTGTTTGGCATAGCTACATCCCCAAGTATGCAAAAGCGGGATGTTCTTGGCTACTCTCGCTGGGATTTGCCCCCACCCATAAATTTGGATTAGCTCGACGTCCCGTTTTTCCTTCCCCTAGGACCTAACAATGAAGGTTCTTCGGCAGTACTTGCATACAACTGCAACAAACCCTCGACGTGCCATTCGACATTCCCCGTCCGCCGGCTCTTGTCCAGTATGACACGTATTCTAGTAATCGTGATCTGTTAATCTGAGCATATTGATCTGTTTAATCGTGATCTTCGGCGCATTCACTCGGGGAAAAACCCCTCAAGTGTTCGATCCTTGGCTAAATTGGATGCTTCAGAGACTTCATAATTCATTCGTGTCGAAAACTCCCTGACCTCTGACGCTGTCTTGGTCACGTCGTTCCGGTCGTGCATGTTCTGCCCAATTCCCACTATCTCTGGCTAATTCCAACAAGATGGAAAGTCCGTGCGACGCAAGACACCGCAAGAGAGAGAGAGACCAAAGAAGCATTGCTTTGCTTCAGGAGGAAGAAAGTTTTGGTAACAACTTCAGTGGTAACAATCTCACTAGTACTTGACTTCTCTTTCCCAATGGCATTCCGGCGGATGAATTTCCACCCCCGAACTAAACTATTATACTTCGGGGTGGACATTAATTCGCCGGAATTCCACTGTGATCCTCTGTAGGATTCCAACGGGAAAGGGTCGTAGGTCATGTATTTACAGGCTTGTGGCTTGTTACCAACTTTTGTGTCATGCCTTTGCACTACGGATTTTGGACTACAAAACCAGGTCAACAATTTGTTTAGTGAGCTTTCAAGGCTAGGGAGCACATGTGCCACTGGACTCACCTTGCGGATACGTTTGACCAACACATGTCAAGCCTCGAGCCTGACCCAGATAGCAAGTCTAGAGTCTAGATCATCCGTGATGCGCAACTGGAAACAAACATGCCTGGTTTCGACCCGTTCGTACCTTGGAAAGTGAGGCCTCATTCTCATGCAGATCTAACTGTAATTCGGGTCATGTCCCATTTTCTAGGGTCATGTAGACCCCAGATTAAGAACACCCCCGTGGAAGGTCAACAAGGTCCAGAAGGTTTGAGGTAATGACCATTCATGTGGTCCACCTCCCCTGAATAGTCTGCTAAGAAGGGAGTAGTATAGTAGTGGTGGTAGTAGTAGTAATAATAACAACAGTGGTAGAAATCATGGTGGTAGTAGTAGCAGTAGTAGCAGGAGTAGGAGGAGGAGCAGGAGCAGGAGCAGTAGCAGTAGCAGTAGTAGTATTAGGTGGTAGTTGTAGGAGTCGGAGTAGGAGTAGGAATAAGGAGAAGGAAAAGGAGAAGGAGTAGGAGTAGTAGTAGTAGTAGTAGTAGTTGTTGTTGTTGTTGTTGCAGCGAAAACAAGACAAATTGACCTGGTTGCTGGCTCGAAATATCTGCGGTGTGTTTCTATAGATGATTCAGGGATACATTAGCAACCAATAAGATTTGTAGTTTGGACAATTTTCCGAGACTTTGTGGGCTCGGATTAACTAGGGTAGGTTTATAAATGCTGAGCCTACATCACACACGACGTCAGGTCCAGTTATATACTGTCTGTGCTTGCAAGCAGTTTAGGACGAATCACAAAGAGCCCGTATACCAGAACACTGGTGTTTCTTTTTGTTTGAAGGGAGATATTTCATCGATGCCTGTGGGTCTTTTTGGTCCGGGTGATCCTGGTTGACCACCGACAATGAACATGCAGAATAGTATGATTGATCAATCTACCATCCGGGTCCATGACCCACAGCCATATGTCCCTGGCGGTTGCTGAAGGAAGACCACTCTCGACATAGATCCAACGCCACCGTCCAGGTTCTCCTGCCGGTCCCGGCGCCGGATCCAGAGCCGAGCGAGGCAAAACTAGAATGGCATCCTTTTCAACTCTTGATCAAAATGCACCCATATGAAGAGGTTTTTCCACTCAAATGGATGGTTTTACTAATCACGAAAGCTAGCACCAGCTAGCTGGAGTTGTCCTTGCTTTAGCAAGTGAGGGGCTGGAATCCTCGAGATCGCCGCATCACGTGAAAACTTCATATGTAGGGGGCCCCCCCCCCTCCCCCCGCCCTCCCGTTCAACTCCCCCCTGGGACGCCTCTGGGACACCTCTCGGGCACCTCTTATGGCATCCACTTTGGTTTAACTCCTCCGGGATACGGTGCAACAGATTCAACAAGCTCACAGGTTCATGACATCGACATTGATAGAAGAAACCAAGCAAATCATGCAAGCAGCTTTGTTTTGCCTCTGGGACACCTTTTGGGCACCTCTTATGGCATCCACTTTGGTTCAACTCCTCCGTGGAGGTTTTGGGATACGGTGCAACAGATTCAACAAGCTCACAGGTTCGTAAACACATCGGATGCATCGAATAGTGTGGCAAAGTCCAGCCACGCTTCCTTAATTATCGGGGACTTCAATTCTAAGGTTGGCTGTGTCATTGCTGTTTGTGTGTCTTACATGTTCACAACGTTTTACTTCATGAGCATCTGCCTCAATCCGCTTGATGTCCCACCAGTCCGGATGCACCCCTGCTAGCTTTCGTCACCTACCCTCGGCCTCAAGTCAAAAGTCTACATTATCCTATATCTCTAAGTATTTGGGCCCTCAAATGGGAAGGGTTTTGTTCAGGTCCGGACCCCTGCCATGGAGGGCGAAAGGATTCAATTTGGTTTGTCAAGCGTTTTCACTTTGTGACTGAACTTGATACTCCAAGTCATTCACTTTAAAGAAACTGGTTGTGTGTGCGTTGTTGTTATTTCCCTTGAATTATCATGGAAGTGAACACTTGTTAATTAAGTAGTTTTCTTTAGTTCTTCAAAACTCACAGCTTCCCAAAGCCATCAATTCCTGAATCAGTCCGTTATGTAAAGATTGCTCCTAAACACATGTTCAAGGTAGTAGACCTGAAGATCTGCTGAAGATCTGAGGCTGCATAGGAAAAGGATTGCTGAGAATATCTAATTAGAAAGGAACATGAATACTACAATCAATTACGAAAGGAATCCTGCCAGGAACCCAGAATTGTTTTGTTGGTAGTTTACTATAAAGGACCTCCCATTTGTTTAGAGGGGGGAATCCCCTTTACTAAATCCATTCAAATGTGTGTCACATGTCTATTTGGGGACCATTCTTTTTCCTGGTCGAAGACACCACGCTGCGGGTGCGGTGCTTTTCGGCCACTGGGCGTCTCTTCTTCGCCTCTTGCAGCTCAGACGCTGCCAGGTGCGACCCTCCGGTGAAGCCGATGACGCTCCGGCGCGGCGACCGAGCGAGTGGGCGGACGGCTCACCGGCGCTTCGGTGGTGCCCAAGTCCGGTCGCGACTCAGTGGAGCCTTCGTGGAAAGAAACATCACCGACGTCGTGTTTTTCTCGGACATTCCGACACATTCCGACATCACCTTTTCTTGAACTTCAGAGCATTTTTCAACGGTCGAGTGGACCCCCGTCCGGGTGGTGGTTTCGTTTCGGTGGTTTCCATCGTCATGTCACTTGGCATTGGGATGACTGAAGATGTGGTTTTCTGGCGCGGCCATCGGCGCCACCATCGCCGCTGCATCTAAAGGATCGATCCCACCCAGACGCGACCCAAAACGACCCGAATCCGGGGTTCGGACCCGAAACGTTTGGAGGGGTTGAGGGACCCGAACCAAACCCTATGGTTTTGAGGGACCCAAGGGCTGTGAACGGAGCATCTGGGCATTGATCCCAAACATGTTTCGAGTGTGTTGAAATTCCACGGACAGTCTGGTTGTGGGGTTGATGTGGATAGAGATGATTGAAAGAACTGATGGTTGCTGCAAGCCAATTGCTGTTCATGATCTCTTGAGTGCCGATCTACTGACCATGCAGGCAGATACTTTGTTAGATTACAGTTTGTGTCCTCTTGGTGGGAAGAGTCTAAGAGCACCTCTCTTGGAGGGCAAGTTGCTTCATACTCATGGAAGGATTGATCTGAGATGTTGGGGGACTAGAAACCCACCATCCTCAGACATAGAGAAACCAAACTACAGCTGAGCTCCAGAGCTCCTAAGAGAAAACACATGCCAAAGACCGGCAAAGCCGAGCCACTCCGTAGAATTCATGGTGCCATCCAGGCCATCCACAGGATGTCATCTGAACTGAGTCGGGGCTGTATAACTTCCATCATCTTCCATCCATTTGCACATTGATGATTCTACAGAGTGTCTGATCAATCGCTTTTGGGTTTTGAACCAAGAGTCTTTACTGGTTTCCAATGAAGGTCCACGAAGCTCACCCTAGGTATAGAAGTCCAGTTCAACGATCTTTCGCGCCGAAGTGTTCAGGAAATGCACTTTTGGAAGCTCCAGGAAGGCCATGTTTGAAACACCCGTAGCGGGTCCAGGACCATCTGACGTCCTTTGGTCCCAAAGGACCAGCATGTACTACCACCCTATGGCACGGCATAGGTTTGAACGTTCCAGGCCCTATGGATCCACTCCCACCGAACCAGGTCGGTACGGTGAGGATGGGGACACTGACCGATGTAGGCGTGTTTTCGGGTCCAGTCGTACCGAACCTGAGAAGGTATGACTGGATTTTGGATCCCTAGAAGGCATTACAGTCATGGACCATTATAGTACATGACAGGGTAGTACATGACATTATGGACCATCATTATAGTCTTGAACTTCCAGGCTATACCGAATCGTTCTCTCACCACAGCCGAACCGTGCTCGACGACCTGCAAACCGCGGCCCAGGTGCGGTCGCGACGCAAGAGTCGCACCTACTCCAAGATGCCGTGAAGCTCAGAAACGACGGTTCCGTGCGGTTCCGTGTTTGATCGTTGTGATATGTTTTGATGAAGATGGTACCATCCTTGGTTTCGCTGATCTGTAAGGTGCTTCGCCTTGTTACGCATGGGTGCATCGCCTTCTGGGGAATATAGTTTTGAGGTTTTACCGGTAAGCAAATCCAATTGAGATGGAATCTCACTATAGAAGCACTAAACTAGCTGCTGCAAGGGGGGGACGCGTCGGCGAGCTACGGGGAGCTACGGGATCACTGCCCGGTGGGCGTTCGTCTTGTCCCTGGACGACGTGTGTCGACGACGCTTCGATGGTGTTCGATAGTGTCTGTAGTCTCCCTAGGCCTCCAAGTACCTGCTGAGAAGGTGTTTGGGGTGGGCCAGGAGGGTCTAAGTACCTTGGGAGGTACGACTGGAGGTGTTTGGTTTGGAGATGTTGGGAGGCATTTTTGGGGGACGGAAAGGCCCCCTCCGGACGTGAAACAAAGGGAGAGTTGAGCGAGCGCAGCAGCGACTCGAGGAAGAATTCATCCTGTTACTTGGCCTAAACCTGCATGAATATGAACCTCAAATGGTAGGAAATCTATGGACTCCTTTACCAGGACCTTCCAACAGGTCACCACCTGCGACTTTTAAGTCTCCAAAAGCTACCAGAGGAGACCTGTGAAGTCGGGTGCTGGTAGGGTGAGGTTCATTCTCCCAAAGGTACTCCAGACTCCACCCATCTCTTCTCACCCGTCTCTTCTCACCCGTCTCTTCTCTCGTTCGTTCCTCTGTTTGCGCCGCCCGGCTCGTGCCCCGTTGGCTCTTTGGCCTCCCTTCACTCTCACACACCTGATCCCTTCACTCTCATGCTCTCACGACCTGTAGGTCCTGATCTCACACTCTCACACGCCTGTTCGGGCTGCCCTGTCTGGAAGCCGGTAGTGTGGGGTAGTCCAGCCAGGACACGTCTTGAAGGGTCCTGGTACATGCATGTTGCGCATGTTGCATGTTTTCTGGTTTTGGCTAAAGGATTTGCTCACGAGCATGCAGACGAAAATGCATCCCTTTGTGGATTCGCGAGGGCCTTGGACTTTTGCCACGCTCTATCACTGGCCATGTTTTTTCCGTATGTCGCAGTGCGCAGGGTTTGATCGAGAATTCCTGACCACGGGTTGTTTACCACGTCTGTCTCCTCACTGCTGGGCCTTCGTGTTTCACACCGTGACTGGGGGTCGAGAGACCGCGCGGTGACAGCTTCAACTCCAGTTTCCTGGACGAGCATGTGGGCCTGGACGATGCAAGTCCATTGGCAAATGGGACATGACCCGAAGAAAAGAAACAAACACCGGGAGACTCTCCATGGAAAGTCTTCCATGCCAGGTCACCTGCCACTAAGATTGATTGACAAAGGTTCAAAGGTTGAGTCATACTTATGACACGACCGTATTGGCCCTAATATACCTGGATCGATCTTCAAAGTACTCCTGAAAAGGACATGGCATGGACCCTCTCACAACATGTCAAACAGCTACTTGTACCAAGCAACTTGTTGGACTCCAGGCACATGATGACACAGTCATTTCAGCCACCTTCCGAGAACCATCGTAAACCTTCCTTTCGACCCGCCAGTGCGCCGCATCGATGGTCGGCCAGGTCCAGCTTCGTTCCAGAGGAGCCGGACGAGTTGGATGACATCGCCGACATGTGGAGGCGTTTTGGTCTCGTCGAGCGGTGTTGCCGAGCCGGAGAACGCGGGTCCAAACATCCAGTTGTTGGTGGTGGTGAGAACCCTGGAAGTCTAAGACTATTACATTTTTGTTTGGTCTGACCCGAAGAGGAACTTCCTTTGCCAGGAATAGTCTTAAGGACTATAGGGAGACATCACCGGTGAATCTGCAGTGCTCGGGGCGGCACGTGTTGGAGACTGGGAAGACGGAGGCGGTTCATAAGTTGTTTCATTTGATAGTCTTTGATTCGAGCCTCCATAGGGGAAACATGGGGAAACGATTCTTGAAAAAACACGCCATATCATATCACTTATATCTAAGATGTGTCCACTGACATCCACTAATCATGCCCAGAACCTCGAAGTACCTCCTCAAATTCGGTTGCAGGAAATTGACCCACATTTTCCAACAGGATTTCACACTACAGAAAGCACGTACCAGCCTTTGCGTCTACGTGGCGCGCGCTATCCTACCAGGCAATTGAGTGGATTGGCAGAACACCGAATGACATGTCCCAAAAAGGTGTTGCTGTAGTGGCTGGGTCACCTACTGATGGAACGCAAACGGTAGGAATATCTGAGGCAAGAGCCTTATTTCTGGATGCCTACATTGACCCCTGAAAACCCTAATGTAGAATAGGCCAGTCCCATGGATGGTCTGGCATAGGTACGACGTACAGAGTTGTGCAGTTGTGCATGTCGGCCCGACTTCGACCCTATCAAAAACAGGTCTGTATATCACGTTCCACGCGTCCCGATCTGACAGGTACAATCCTTCTTTGAATCCAACTATTGAAGCCGGTGTTTAAAGCAATACTTCTGGCCCGGCGTGCCGAGCTCCTAACTCGGTCGCAACTATGCCAATGCACACTACAAGATTATACATTGATGCCCTATTACTATAGACTGTCACCCTCTGTATCCCCCTGTTCAATTCCAACAAAGTCTTCAATCTGGCCCAACCTGCAATGTTCGCGCGTGAAGAGCTTGTGGAAATCCCGTTGAAGCTGCGATGGGAATTTAAGGCTCAGAGTCGGAGGTATTGGAGGGCCATGCGTGGTTTCGTTGCCGTCATGATTCCTACTGATCCATCTTAAATTGCCTTAGCCGTCTGTGAATTTGGCGCTTGGTTTACTTTTGTTTCCAGGAACACTGAGAGAGTCAGTATAGTTTAATTGTGTCATCATATATATGTCTCAATATGTTAGTTGGTACAGTTAGTCCATATATCTAACTCTTACGTGCGACATCTCAAATCTAGGTGAATGTGTCTACTTTCTAGGTGAATGATTGGAAGGCAATAGAACATGTTGGACAAGATTATTCTTTCTAGCAACATGTTAGGAGTGACTCTGGGCCACTAGATCTTGTTTCAATCGGTTTCAATCAACGTGCAGTATACATATATTATATGATATGTCAATTTGCAAAAGCTACCAGACTGAGACCTGTAGAGTCGGGTCCTGGTATATGTCAATTTGCTTATCTGGTGCTTTGCAGATCGGGTGATTTGGTGTTTTCCGGGTGACTCCCTCTTGGCGTTTCTTCCTGGTTCCAGCGGAACGCTGCGACCAGCGCCCCGCGCACCGGTCGCTGGTCGCAGATACTACGCCTTGGTCGCAGAGAAACAAGTGCAGACGGCGACCCGTCCCTCGAACGCAGTGGGAGTGGGCCAAGCTTGGTTTCTGGCATGGCATCAGGGGCCTTTTTGATTGTATCGATTTAAAGTCAATTTGCTTTTAACATTCCGAATGGTCGAATTCCACATTCCCGGTCTTTGTTTCCTTCCCACTTCCAATCCCAACATCACATCGGCCGACGGGTCGGGCCGTGGCGTACCGGAACGAGAGGGGTGGACCGAGCTGCGTACTGGAGGCCGGTCGCCACAGATGTGCCACTCAAAGGTTTCAACCGGAAACTGTTCCTTTGAAGGGAAGTGAGCCAGACCATGAGACGATTTGTGTTTGCAATATGTTGTGTCATCATTGAAATAGAAGTTCAGTCGAGTTCAGTATAGGAGCAATCTGCAGTGTTCTGGCTGTGTTGGATCGTAGTTGGCCTGAGCGCCATAGCCACCACCCGGGAGAGTAAAGTCACAGCAACCACTCTGATACTTGAGTTCTTTTTTCACCTTGTATTCTCTACATAGTCGTTTCCCACAGCACCTGACGTGAGTCAAGGAAAGATGCACTGCGTTGGGAAGAGTAAGGTCATGTTTCAATGCCACAGAAGTCGGTTGTGATATCATTCACCTGCTGGATAAGAACATCCGCCTCATTTCACACTCAGAGTCCACCAGCCTTTAGCTAGGACCTTCAAGTACGTAGCTGGTCACTTTGAAGGTCCTGGAGGAGCTCTTTAAGATGATTCTGCCTCATCCATGCTCATTCCATTCCATAGCACACCTTGGATGGGCGAGCCCTGGGATTTTTAAAGGGTCCAACGACCTCAGCAGGTTTGACAGTGTCCCATCCAGGAAAAAGTGAACGACCTTTAACCCTTAAACCTGCAGGTGGAAAAAGCTTAAACCTTTATTTTCTACAAAACTGAGGGAGTCAGAGTATGACGATGTGTTTTTGCCCCACGTGCCAGGTGAGGTTTGCTAGATTTTATCAGAGCTCTTCTCCTCTTCTCCTCTCCTCTCCTCTCCTCGTCTCCTTGACTACCGCACCTCAGCGGCCAGCTCCAGATCGCAATGGGCTATACCTCCACTGCAAGTGCCAGATCGCACTGGGCACTACCGGACCTCAACTGCAAGTGCATGGTCGTAGCGGGCACTACCGGACCGCAACAGCAAGCGCCAGATCGCAGTGGGCACTGCCGGGCCTCAACAGCAAGCGCCAGATTGCAGTGGGCACTACCGGACCTCAACCACAAGTGCCAGATGGCAGTGGGCACTACCGTATCTCAACACACAACACACGACATAACCACAAACACAGCATATACAACACACAGTTAACGCAACTACATACACGCAGTCACAAACAAAGCCACATTCCCAACCACAAACACACAATCACAAACACACAGGCACAAACACATCGCCACAAACACAACCACAAACACACAGCCACAAGCAAAGCCACAAACGCCCAACCACAAACGCACAACCACAAACACACAACCACAAACACACAGCGCAAAAAAAGCCACAAACAAAGCCAGAAATGCACGACCACAAGCACAACCAGCCACAAGCACACAATGACAAGCACACAGCCACAAACACAGAAACCACAAGCACAACCACTGCACACAGCCACAACACACAACCGCAACATTCAACCACAACCACAAGCACTGTAACAATATAATTACCTGTGTGGGTGGCATTGTCCGTGGCAGGTGGTCATGCACTGTTGGATGCCAGCTGGGGGCCCTGGCGGCACCCCGACGTGAACTCCCCAACACGAAGCTAACTTTCCCCAACCCGAGGACCCACAAACAAATGTTAAAACCACAAACCCCACGACCATGGCAACATGCTCCTCACCATGGCATGAAAACTTCTAAAATATTGAAATGTCATTTCATGGTGATCACTTGAAGTAAAGTAATTTGCTTTGATCACATTTAAGTTTACTCCTCCATCTGAAGTGCACAGAGGCCGGCTGGTCGAGGGCTCCACAGAAACCGAGAAGGTTCAAGTGCCCACGCGCAGGCCGTGCCGGCGACGTGGGTGTGGTCGGGGAATTTAAAGGCATGAAGGATACGCGATGGCGGGTGCCTCACAAGAAAGCCCACTTAGACCTAATTGGTCGCCTTGAATCTGAAGAATTCTGTGATTCTCAAAGATTCCACAAATTCCATAAAGTTAAATCACACCAAGACGCGCAAACAGCAACGACTTGAACTAACTATGGACCATTTACGGCAGTTAAGTGGACAGCTGGAAAAGCTCGTAAGACCTACCAGAGTTTGAGCGCATGTGCAAGTATGTGAGCATTATCACCCACAAGGGATTCAGGATCATAGAATTTCTCAAATCCCTATAGCCTTGGCATCTTCCTGCCTCCACAAGGTGGAGCTGATGGCGTTTCGTTGCGTGAGCTTCGTACAGCCTTGTTCCAACGCCTTGAGGCTAGGATTAGCATGGGCCAGAGGCCTGCCTCCTGTCTAGCAGAGCTGGAGTTGCCAGACCAAAACGCCGATCCAGAGCCACACCATTGAGAAGTTAGAGCCTCTATAGCCTGCAGCTATCTGGGGAAAAAACTTTTGGCGGGCAGCGCACTGTGCCGCACCCAACACCAAAATGCACACAGCGGCGCCCAGGCTCGAGAACGCACATACGCAGCTCTTCCTATACTTGAAGTAGGAACCCCACTAGATCGCTAGCAACTATACTTGAAGTAAGAACCCCGATAGTTCACGTTATCGGGGGAATTATCATAGGACTTTGCTATGCGGGATTTGCATCATTGTGGCAGGTCAGGCCGATGAATTCATGGGCAAGTGAGGCCCGCGGCATCTAAGAATTCGTGATCGATTGGGATTCATGGGAATGGCGCTGGGGCTGACTTGGATAAAGCAATTCCACGGACCGGTCAGACAGCTCCACGGGCGCCCGAATCCACCTTGACCGATG